CCCCCCCCGCGTTAGTGGACTGATGGTATGGCCCAGGGGAGGGGGAGAACAGCTGGGGCGCTAATGTATCTCTGCGGCGCTGTCCTTCGCCGCTTCATTGTGTGTGGCTGCTGCGTGCCGGCTGGTGCTCCTGCGGCCGGGCAGCCCCCGGAGGTAAGGGTGGCGGGACCCCCTGGCAGGGAGAAGCGTGAGGGGAGGCGGGAGACCCCCGGGGGCAGGGGAAGCGAGAGGGAGTTTGGCTGGGGGGTGGGTGTGTGCGCGCGCCTCCATCCCGGACACGCTCCTCCGCAAACTGTCTTGGGCATCAGCCGGGCACCGAGCCGCCTGGCCCCTCTGGAGCTGGGGTGGGTTACTGCGTGTGGTGGTTGTGGGAGCTCTCCGGGCACGGCAGCCCTGCAGGGAGGTGGGAACGAATGGCTCAGCCCTGCGTTGCCCCTCGTTTCACGGGCTGTGATGAAGCAGGTGGCTGCTTAGTTGTGTAGCATAACAAAAATAAGGGCTTGTATGGAGCAGTGGGTCGGCTGCTGGGTACGCTGCAGTTTCAAACAGGGATGCCCACTACCACCCTGGGAGTTCAGGGATCGCAACCTTTGCATTATAACGACCACCCCCACCCAATTGGTAGTTGGATTTCCCAGCTTGGTTGTGTTTTAAAATATGCCTCCTGCATGAATTATGGGCTGTGAGGTCTGACCCTTGTGGTATTATTTTAAATATATCACCATGTGAGTTTAAAAAAAAGACTGCTGAGGTTATTTTTCAGGATTGTGAGTGACAAATTGTGGTTGCAGGTGTCTGCTGACCTGTGGGTCAGAAACATCTTTGGGGTTTATTTAAAGTACTTTTAACAGACTTCATTTATAATATGTCCAGTTCTATTTTATTTTTATGCTCACAGAGTTAATTACCTTTCAAGTAGATGGTTTTTTTCCATCAAGACTCAAGGTTCAAGACTTGTGAAAATACGCAGTTGGAAATTTTACTAAATATGCATTTATACTCTTTATATCTATTTATACTCATCCATCAAAAGGAAATTGCATTGCAGTTATAAGAGGATGGATTAAAGTCCCAATGTAAAACTAACAGATCCATGAAATACAACAGGGTCCGTTCAAGATAAATTGTCAACTGGAATTTTAATCTGCCATATCCTGTACTACCTAATAGATGTGAAATGGATTAAAGGATTTGTAAAGGGAAAATATAGGTTTGTGCCATTCTGTTGTTTTTCTGCTATATAAGAAGACCTGTACACTTCTTGTTTCTGCTTCCCCCCTACCCCCATTACTAATTCAGTTAGGGTGGATTTTAAAAAACAGTAAAATCCATTTTTTAAAATCTATTTAAAATTAAATTTGAAACTGACAACCTAGGTTAAAGCCCAAATTTATTATAATCTATTAAAATCATTTAAATTCAAATTAAAAATATTCAGGCAGTATATGTTTGCTGCTAAAACTTTAAAGAACGTCAGTCTACTGTGCTGATGGAAGTCATTGGCTAAGCACCTGGCTAGAGTGTCTTGAAGTGCTAAACCGGCTGTAGACAATAGTATCCTCTTCTGCAGGTGTACACAGATTATCTTCATTTCAGTTTATTTAGCTAATTCAGTTCAATAACTAGTTCATTCAAAGTTGAGAAACTGAGAGTTGAAAAAGCTACAAAGCTTGTTTTCCTCTTCCAGTATGATTAAAATACGTTGTGAGAGGATGAGATTTGTAATTCTAAAAGCTTGAAGGATGTGGTGACCAGAAACATTCAGTTCAATCCATTAATACAGATAATACTTTCTGTTGTTTAATAAATCAGCTAGTTTTAGATACAAAACATGTTAAACTTTTTTTTCTTGTGTATAGAGCACATTTAAGGTAGTTTTATTTAACTATAAAAACAATTTAAAAATGCTGCTTTTGTACATGCAGTATTTAATTGAATTCCAATTTCAATCCAAATGCAGCTTGACACAAATCATGAATTAAAATCGTCGTCTAGTAAATAAGAAATGCATCGTTTGCCATTTTCTAACATCATTAAAGTAAAATTACAAATTTTAATAAATTTGTTAATCTATAAAATTACTTACACAATATCTATACACATTTATTTATCTCCCTGTATATCAAATTATGCCAACCGATAAGAATAATCTTTTCTTTAGGAAAATAACAAAGTAAAAATGCAAATCAATATTAAAATTGAGTATTTAAATCAAGGTTTCTTGCTTGATGAGTTAAATTACTTTGAATTAGTTAATCCACCCTGAATTCAGATCTTGTCTACTTACGAAGACTCTGGCTGACTGAAGAACTGGTCGTATTATGGCATCACAAGTACGTAGGAAATGAAATCTGATAAATTTAGAGGGGAAGTTACTTTCATTCAGATTTTTAAAAACTCTTTATTTTTGTAGTTTATAAAGCCAGGAAGAATCATTGTGATCATCTAGTCCAGTGG